TGAGCTCAAACACAAGGTACTGGTTATAACAAAAAAGAAGCTCAAGTCTCCATATCCAAGTCTAATAAATCAGTGGTTTATTTAACAAGGTCATTTCTACACAGGACTGCGGCTGAGGGCAGTTGTGTATGACATGTGATATGAAGAGACCAGTGTACAATCGTAGATCTTTCATCATTCTTCCTCAGATTCACCATCTTCTTGCTTAGCAGTGAAAGGCATTTTTGGTTTATATAAACATATTCTTTACAACTGCCATCTTCAAAGAAACTGGAGTATAAATAGCATTGAGCCTTTAGTAAAGAAGTCACAGGCCGAAAGTCCCAACTGTGCAGTTGTGACATCTATGTCGCAGTCTGAAGCCTGAAGACTGAGTGATCTGCAATGTCTCCAGCATGTCTCCAACAGCCTTAAGAGAGTATCTGGTTTCCTTCTTACTTCGACCTGCAAACTAATTTTAAAAAATGCTCAATTAGGCTCAGTTCCAGTGGCAGGTTAAAAAAACCCACAATCTTACCTTCATGTTGCTAAAGAAGATTAACATTAACTGTTTTAGCACTAGCATGAAGTCAAGTATATTCTTCAGTAGGTTCCATCCTAGCTGCAGTGTTGAAATATCTCACTGCACTCTTCACCAGTCTGCGTTTAAGTGACACGGTAGCTTATAACCTCATGCTCTGACTTCAAAGCTCGTCTATATTCAGATGTCAAAACACTCACGAAATAAAAGCACTTATTGTAAAACTGAATTTAGTATTCATTTATGTAGGAACATGGCTTATTTCTACTTGTCTCCCCTCTAAACAGATTTTCATGATTTCAAACAAAGGTAAAATATAAATAAAAGTACTTTTGATTGAACATTTTAAGGTTGAAGTATTCTCAAAAATTATTTAAAGTAGGTCATATTTTTAACTTTGCAGATTTGTTAGTTGACTAAATGGTATGGTGTTGGGCAGCAAAAGGTTGTCAAGTGACACTCTATACCAAATATTAAAATGATGTACAATACTGTAAAATACCCATTCCTAGTTGATTAAGTTATAATTCACTTCATAAAACTAAACTGGATTGTATAAAAAACAAAAAAATAATGCATTCAGTACCATCTGTTTATCAAAGCAGGTTCACAGCATCTGAAGTTTAATTCCCTATATGCTTAGTGGGGATGCCACCGAGGATCCCTGCTGAGTTCTAAATGGGTTTCTCACCGGACGGACAAGGCCACCATCTATCAGTCTGATTTAACACAAGTTTATTACATGGGTACTGCCTGTTTTCCCCTGATTACAGTACTAATTAAAATGTGCTATTAGCAACATGCAGTGCTGCCCAGTCACCACACTCTCAAGTGACTGATCCTTCTCTCAAACAGTGGTGCAGTCTCCGGACTTAGTATCTGACTTACACTGTGCCTCTTCTCTTCCGGAATGAAACTAATCTGGCAAGTTCCAGACCTATCCAGAAGGATGAGGTGATGCCCGCAGGTAACCCCACAGATGCCTGGCATCAGGACCAGCCGCTGGCCTCTGACCCTTGTGGCCGCAGCTTAACATTTTAACTCCCCTAACTTCCTCAAGGTCAACTTCTGTGGCTGAAGCTTTATTTGACAGAGCAAATACGGGGGCCTCTAAGGCAAATGCCAGGGAAAGGGAAAAGCCTGTAAAAACCAAGATTGCTTTGCCTTTCATCAGGCACCACTAAAAGAATGAAATAAATGTTAACTTGTACGTCACTATTACAGAACATAGTAACAGCACCACATTTAAAATACTGTTTTTTAAAGAAGTAATTTCCCTTGGTAAATATATTTTAGGGTATGAGGCATGCTTATTCAAAATAAGCACTTGATAAATTCACTTACCAAGGATTTATCAAGAACAGAAAGCCTCTCTCTTACCACTGCCTTCCAAGTAAACGGAAGGGTCAATGCTTAAAAGGACTAATTCTGACAGAAAGTGCTGATGGGCCTGCCAGGGAAGGTACAACACAGGACTCCATACAGCAACAGGCATTGTAAATGTTTTTAAATAGCAAAGAGAAAATCTCAACATTTTGTAACGCTAAATCCTAACCCAAATTTTAACACACAGCATTTTCTTGGTTTATACTTAAACATAATGATAGGAAGTGTTATTTTCAAGAATTAGCTAATTAAAAACAAATCACCTAAAGATGGAGTCAACACTACTGACAACTGCTGCAATTTAGATAGACTAAGCTAACTTATTTGTGCCAGAACAAGTAAAAAGAAAGTTGGAAATACAAATCTATTACTTCAAATTTTTCCTGACATGCCATTTTGTTTCTTCCAGAATTATCTGGCAATTTAACTGATTAAGCCAGAATTGTATTTCTCCTCAAATCCTGATTTAATTCTGTATTTCCCAAAAGGACAGTAACAGAATCACCCTGCAATCAGAATTAACATCTGGATCACCACCACAGATGAATTCAGCAGTACACCAAAGAAGCATTTATCTGGAAGATTATCATTAGTAGGTTCACATTAAAGTTTTCATGAGCATTAATCAACTGCACCTGACTCTACTGACCATGCCAAACCAATTACCTAACTGAAGCATGCGTAGCAGCCATATTCTGTTTCATTAAGTGCAAAGAAAGAAAACCAATTCTTAAAATTTATTTTCTCTCACTTATAAGAACCTAGAAAAACACTACAGCAAGAAACATTTATTATGCACTTTATTCTGGTTTAAATGTCTAGATATGAGTCCTGCAGTTCTCAGTAAGAGCCTAGAGATTTATTTAATTATAAAAATGTCAATCTTTGGAAGTTATATTTTTCCAGATTATTCACCAATTTTGTAGTTTTCTTTTCCTATGGTTATATTTGAGTAAACTCTCCTTTCACAGTCTGTAAGAAAAATCACCATAAAATAAAAACAACCAAATAATAAAAACTTGCTTATCAAATTCAGAGACCGATGATTCATCCACTGTAGAAACTGGGCGACACTGTACAAAGGGCTAAAATGCACTTTTACACAATTTGTAGACTATGGATAGACAAAGTAATAAGATACATGAAATGGAATGGTAGATGGGTAAATCTTAAGAAACAAAGAAGCCAGATATAAAAGACTGAGTACATAACCTAGGATCTCATGTATAAAGTTCCAGTGCAGGCAAAATTAATTTTGGGTAAAAATTAAGTCAGCACTCGCTTGCTGTGCTTGGAGGCTGGATGCGAAGTGGCAGAGTGCACTTCCTGAGAGGAAGAAAGCGCTGTGCATCCTGGCTGTGGTGGTGAGAGGAGGACGTACACACTGACACCACACACTGAGAACGTGTGACACCACACACCAGGAGCACAGAAGATGCCCAACAAACTAAGACAAAAGGGTGGGACTAAGACTTAGGCGACAGTGTAATAAAGAGCCCAATGACCACAGATTTCTCTTCCCACTTGCGATGCTGTGAGTCAGGATTAACTGTGTGATTTGTTTTAGCAAAATCTGGTATAATCAGATGCTTATGCACACTGGAGTTGGCCTGCCACGGCTCTTGAAACCTGAGACCACATGTGAGCAAGCGCAAGTTAGCCCAGGGCGGGAGACACAGGCCCAGCAACTGCAGCTGACATCCACTGCCCACTGTCCAAGGGAGGTCACCAAGCAGCTTCTGCTGAAACAAGAGCAAGCCCAGACAGACCAGCAGAGGTACTCAGCAGAACTCAAGCCCACTTCCTGCCCGTAGAGAGCTAAGAGCGAGTAAGTCAGCAAGAGATAATGGGCAAAAACATTTACGGAATTTGGTTCATAGACAAAAATGTCAAAGATCCCACCCAAGAGTCTCAATGTCCTGCAAGGCCATGGGATGCAAGGTAAAAGAAAGACAACGGAAGAAGACTTATACAGAAAGCGGGGAACTGGGAAGGGACCATGCCTAAAGCAACCAGGACCTTAGGTATTTATTGATTACACAGGCGTGGGTAAAACTAGGGTACGGGATGCTCACGGCATCTGGAGATACCAGCTGACACAGGCAAGGCTTGTAGAAAAGAGGGTAAGGCATTCTTGCAGAAGGAGCAGAGCAGACCAAAGTCAGTGGTGGTTTAACCAGTTATCTACTGAAACAATGAAGGGCGGGTAGCTCTAGGAATGCAATGTGGTCTGCACCTGCCATGCAGTGCACAGAGCTGTTATCTCACTGAGGAGCCCCGCAGCCTCACAGGTCAGGACTTGGATCGGAGGCTCCAACAGCCTGAGCGCCACCCAATGTGCTCCCATGACGTGAGCCACACAGGCCCCGGTCCAGCTCCGATGCAACATGGCCCGTCCCGTTATAAGGACAGAATGCTGCTCCACATTGCAGCCTGCTCTCACCTTGGTCAGGGGGTCTCCCGCAACCACACAACCTCCACAGAGAAAGCACAGAATGTGAACGCTTAGAAAGCCCAAGAAGTTTTATTTAAACCCTGCTACTGGCATCAAAGTAAAAACAAATTTTACATAAGAGGTGATGCCCAACTGCAGAGCACTGGAAGTCGCTGCCCAAATGACCATGGGGAGAGGTGTGTTACCTCCTGGAGCAGCATCCGAAACTCAGGGAGAAACTGACAAGAAAAACTCTTCCACTGTCTCTTCCATGAAATGAAGAAAAGGTAAATCCTATCTTAGGTAAGATGCGCAGAAGGGCTCTGGGCACCATGCAGCTGACTGACACTCAGAGTCTGAGGAGCACAAGTGCTGCTCCCAGAGCTCCTGACCCAGGACACAGGGACCTGCAGGGCTGCGTGGAAGAGGACTGATCTAGTAATACGTCACAGCAGGGGTGGAGAGAGGGGGATGATGGAGGGAGGGAGGAAGGGGGAGGAGGGAGGACAGAGAGAGACTGCAGTGGGTGGTGGGGCCACAACCAGGGTCTAGTTTATGAATGTAAGCCATGTGGGATCATGCCCACATGATTACAGAGTACATCTTACAGAGCAAGGGCACATCTGCCTGTGGACCTAATCAAGGGGGTTTTCTGCCACTCAAGAGACGGGAAAAAGCCCAAACAAAAGCAACTCTTGAGTTTAACTACTATTGAGAGCTTTAGGGTTGAAATGAAGAGAGAAGCAGTGATGGGATATCAATGAGTTCTGAGAAAATGACTGAGGACGGCATCAGGAACTGGAATGATACCATCTGATACTTCCACTCTGACAGCTTCCCACAGGCTGTCCACTGTTCAAAGCCGTTCCGGTTTTGAAACCAGTGTCACTGACCAGCTGGCTTGCTTTGGGAATCCTTCTGAGCTTTGACTCTCCATCTGTAATGAAGGAGGGCTGGGTATTCAGCCCGACAGGTGCCTGCCTAGTGAGTGGGAGGCCCTGCACTCAACCATGGGAGTTGGGGTGACTCTCGTAATAAACTCTGTTTGCCAGTATTGCAACAGGCAGAGGAGGTGAACTTGAAGTGTGTGATTAATACACATGAGGAAACATATACATTACTGTCATCTGTTGAAAATTATGTTTGAACTCCTTAGAATACTTTTATGTCCATCCTGGAAAAGAAAAGCTAGGTCCAGAAATAATACATCATGTACCCAAGATTGCATCGCTAATTAACGCTAGAGTCAGGTTCTGAACCAAGACAACAGGGTTCTACATTCTGGACCTTCACTACACAGACCTCACTTCCACAGTGCAAAGAAGCTATCTTGTATCATGTACAGAAATTAACTCCAATGGATGGGGGAGTTAAGCATGAAAAGTAAAAGAACAGGAATTTTGGAGACACACAATATTACCTTTTTTGACCATGAAGTACCAAAAGATTTCTTAAGCAGAACACACAAAAAGCACAAATCAGAAAGGAAATGACTGACACCTTTGAACACATTTACCTTCAAAACTTCTAGGCGTCAAACTCATTTGAGTAAAAGTAAGGAGATATTTACTACACATGTAACTAAAAAATAGCTCATAACCAGAAAACAAACCAACCAAGCAAACATACGAACCAGTAAGAAAAAGACTTCCCAAGAGAGGAGAGTCAAACGGTCAAAAGTCACTTGACAGTGTTCAGCCTCGCTGATTACCAGGGAGATGTGCAAGAGAGGCAGGACAGGACACACCGGTCGGCCGTGAGCACCGGCACACCGGGAAACCGACAGACTGGAAGGGTCTGGGTTGCCAAGCGCTGGTGTCGGCGCAGACTACCAGAGCTCTCCAAGGCTGGCGGGGACAGACAGCTAACTTGGCAAGCTGCACCTTCCTCCTACAGTCGAACAGACACACACACTCTAGGACCCAGTGCTTCCGCTGGATGGCACGTGCCCCTTCCAAGCACAGGCGCATGTAGACCAGATGGCACAGAAAGTCCGGAGCAGCGGAAACAGTCCAGCTGCCGTCAACTACTGGCTAAACTCCACCACGTTCCCACCACAGACTGCAGTACAGTGAGAAACAGAAGAACTACAGACATCTGCACAGCGCAGTCTCACAGACCTAGCAGCAAGTGAACCAGGCCAGGCAAAAGGGAATCCACCTTGCCTGGCTCCATGAACCATGGGGCTGGAAGTTAGGGCTCCTGAGAACGGGGTAGAAATGGAAGGACCTAGGAAGAAGGCATGTTTACTTATTGACTTGGATGCATTTACCTTGTATTATTAACTGAGATGCCTATTTATGACTTCAGTTCTTTTTCTATGTATATTATAAAGTTGTATTTAGAAGTCATGCTTTGTCAAAAAAAGCATTTTTTTGAGTAGCTAGTTGTTTCTCAAAAATATAACAATATGTGCATACTATTAGTTTTGTATTATATGACATCTTTAAACCTCTCTCGCGCACACGCACACCCCAGGCCTACTCTGAAAGGAGCCTCACTAGATCTGAGCTACCCCAACTGCATCTGAAGGTCAGCTCACCCAATATTCATGTATTAACAGAGCTAATACTGCTTGTAATATACAATATAAACACAAAAAGGTGACTTTTGAAGCTGCGGTTACTGGCCACTGAATGTTTTAAAATCTTCCCAATCTTCTCCAATCAGGAGAATGAAAATAAAGAAACAAAGAGCACCACACCAAAAACAATACAACAAAAAGCAAGCCCACACAGTACTTTGTCAACAAGAACCAGATTACAAGCACCTTCCTCAAGTGCTAGGTGTTTATGTCACCAACAGCAGCAGGATCTGCAAAAGCTCCACAGCTGTACAGTAACAACAACAGGAAGTGACAGGGAACAACCTACTGCTCTGGAAGCAACCCAAAACCAAAAATTATAAACAACAGTAACCTCCAAAAGGACCTGAACTGATGAATCTACAAATGGCCTACAAAACTTAAAAAGTCTTCAGAGGTTCCAAGCAAAGACAAGGATGAAAAACTACACACATGTGAGATGAACAAATCTAACCAGTAAGCAAATCTCTCCAATATCCTCTTCCAGAAGCACAAAACCTCACACCATGAAAAAACAAAACAAAACAAAAAATCAACGCAACAGTGGAAAATGAAACCAACCTGAATAAGGAAGAAAAGCTGGGGTAAGAGGCAGAGGTGGTTAGGGTAAGCGAAGAACAATGCCCAGAGGCAGCAACACAAACACAATCAAAACTATGGCCACAATGCCTAAGTTAAACCTGAAAGCAACACCTTACAACTCACGATCTTCAGACTCTAGAGGGTAGAATGAAACCAGAAAGCCTGACTCAGACTGAGTTCTGACAAAGGCCTAGTACACAAAGAGGTCAAGATTGAGTTCTCTTGAGTTCACAGGAAAGTCAAGCTTGGAAAGCGACCCTGTCTTATCTCCAATTCCCCTCATTCCATGAGCCCTTCCTCCTACCAGCCCAGGAAAACTGCCTCATTTAAACAGAAAACAAAACAGACTGAATAAAAAACTATTATGGAGGAAAAAAAGAAAAACATAAGATATAAAAAAGGGTCAAAAAATTTGAAAGAAAATGACTAAAAGATAGGAAAAGAAAATATAACACAGTTATAATTGGAGCCCTGAAAAAGAAAACTTAAGCAAATGGGAAAAAATATAATTGTAAATATAAAAGGATCTTTTCTCACAGAGGACTGAATTCACATACTAATAAACAAATGTACTGTATTGTGTACTTGGTAAAACAAACCTAACAAAACGTATCATAACAAGACTACTGGATTTAAGATAAAGAAAAAAGTTCCTTTGGGTAACTAAACAAAAGTCTAAGTCACTTACGACAGAAAGAAGGTTAGGATGGCATTAGGCTTCTGGACAGCAACACTGTATCATGAAAACCACTGGAACAGGATCTTTAAGACATACAGTGAAGTGTGTAAATACAAGCCAAAGAAGAGATACAGAACCAAACCATCCTTTAAATATAAACATGCAATAGTTGTTCCCATGAGCAAATTTCCCATGAAAAATTATTTCCTGAAAAATCTAGAGATGAGCACCAGACAACTCAGAAATGAGTGGAGAAGTTTTAGCGCAAGGTGAGCAGGCTGCAGCTCTGGCCTGGCCCAGGGAGTTCGCCTCAGGCTCCTCTTCCTCCTTTCTCCCACTGATCAAGTGCTCATGTGCTACTTCCTTCTGAAATGCACCACGCGATTTACCTTTCTGGATGTTTAGAATTTATATTTGTCAAATTGAGAATCTAGAAATGATTGATGATCAGGCCAAGATCATAATTAAAGTCCTAAAACTGCACATTAATTTTATACAATTGACACACAGCTGTCTGTTCATGGCCCAGAGGCACAGATGGCCAACCAGATGCTGGCTCTGAGCTCGCAGAGGCGAAGTGCACTAAGGAGTGCACTAACCCACACAACCACCCCTCACAAGCAGACCTGGTAAGCCCTGTTGATCTGATCAGCTGCCCAACCTGCATACTTCATGTTGTCCTTCTTCATTTTTGCACT